CCTCATTATGCAGATAGGGTGGGCGGGGCTTCTTATAATTTATATATTTTAGCACATAATTTTACTGTTTTTAAAAATATATATCTTTTTTTTCTTGTACGTCTTTATATTTTTTGTCAATATTTAATATTTATTTTTTATAAATTTTCTCAAGTCTATTTCCATGTGTTGCTTTAACATTTCTCGGTCTCCTGGTTTTATTTTACCTTATGCATTTCTGCCTCATTATGCAGATAGGGTGGGCGGGGCTTCTTGCTTCAGCTCCTCTCCTATTGGTCAACAGACAGGAAGGAGCAGGATTCAGGCGCAGATCTACTGTGCCTCAGTTTAGTTAAAAACAAAGGCACAGGAAAGTGTTTTCCTCCTTGCCTTTGTTTTACAGTAACAAAAAATGTATAGTTTTTAAAACAGTAAAATTATGTGCTAAAATAATAATTTTATTAATTTATTAAAATTAATTTATTGGAACTAAGTGGGCAAAATAAATATGAATGTTAATCTAAAAAACATGAGGTGAAGTTATTATTTTATTTGGTGCATTTTAAGTGTATTTATTTATTTATTTATTTATCCATCCATCCATTTAATTGTAGTGTGGATTTTTAATGTTTTTATTTAATTTTACTGATTGTATGAGTAGGGATGGTTACCGAATTCGATACTTTTTTAATAAGTTACACAACTGATGTTACAATACAAAAGAGTTGGATGTTGTCTTGATATTTGTTAAATTTTATATATTGAGAAATAAATATGTTAAATAAAAAAATTTAAGTTTATTATTAAAAAAACAACAACACACCAAGTACTGAAATCGGGTACTGTTGAGTACCGGTGCCAGATATTGGTACCGAATTGATTCAAATGTCAAAAAGGTACACTTCCCTAAGTACGAGTAAATAMATATTTTATTATGTGTACAGAACTTTGGTCCTGTGACTGTTTAAGGTGCTCTATAAATAAAGCTGGTATGGTATTTATATATTACTGTTTTTAATTCTAATTATGACAGTTTTGGTCCTCCACAGTTTCCATCTTCCACAAATAGATGAGCATCAGACAAACAGCACCTCCTAGTGGAGGTCAACACTAACTGCAGAAAGTAAAAAAATCTAAATAATTAAGGTGCTGCTCTTTGTTTAAGGACAGAATTTAATAATAATTATTTATAGATTTAAAATCCAGCTCCTTTAAATATATATATATATATATATATATATATATATATGAAACTCGATCTGCTACAGATGGTTGAGACCTTTGACTCCGCCCACATTGACGAACAACAGTGTTTATGCATCTAGAATTTCGTAAAAACTGAATTATAAATGCTTTTCAAAGCTTTGAGTTAAAATAATGATAATAAAATGAACATTTTTTCTGTTTTCCAGTCTGGTGTTTGTTTTAAAAGTCTGAAAACAGAACAATATTAGATGACTGTTGTCTTCTGTCTGAACCAACAGACATAAAACATGATTTGTATTGTTGTTTTGTTAATATCCCACAGAGCTTTAAAAGCAACTGAACCTGCTGCCAGCTCTATCTTTGTATCTCTTGGAAGGATTGCTTTCAGCCTATATTTAAATATTTTTTGAGCCGTAAATGCCGGGACATTTTCTAAAAATAACTGGTTATTTCAACTCACTCTGGCATTTATTAGGGTCCACACCATGGTGGTGGTGTCCAGCTTGTGGATGTCGTTGGAGAAGCAGTCGGCCTGGAGACACGGTGGAAAAAAGAAACAGAATTAAATCAAAYGTCACTGTTCTGGTGAGAAGCACGGTGAAGAGTGATGAAGACTCACCAGCTGCTCGTATCCTCCGAATATATACATGGCCTTGCCTAAGACACAGGCGGAGTGGCCGTCCCGCGCTCCAGGAACCGCCCCTGAAATCTTGGGGGTGTACCAGCGGTGGGTATCTGCGACACACAAACATAAAACCATCACAGACGCAGGCGTTGGCGCTCAGACGACACGGTTTCCTCTCATAGTCCTCGCTGCAGCCGGGAGGACACGTCCTCGGTCGAAGCTCCACTTACTGACGTCGAAGGCGTACAGCACGTTGCAGGCGCCCTCCGTGTCGTTGCGCCCGCCCCACAGGTAGATGGTGTCATCCAGCAGCACAGCCGTGTGGCCGTAGCGCATGTACGGCACCTCGCGGGCGCGCTCCTGTCCTCCCGTCCTCACCGGAGGCAACTTCATCCAGCGCAGCGACACTGGAGGGCGAAATGAGGTGGTCAGAGGGAGGGGGGGGGGGTGAGAGCTGAAGCAGCCTGACTGTTGTTTTAGGGGCAATATCATGTAAAATCAACTTTTTTGAGTTTTATATCATGTTATAATGTTATACTCTCATAAAAACATGTCCAAAACCTGGCTCTGACTCATTCATGCATGTTTGAGAAGCCGAGGAGCAAAACGACAGGTGGGGACCACTATTTCTCAGGTGAAAGTGAAAGTGAAACTTAACTGTCTGCTGAGCTCTCAACAGTACTTCTCACTCAGTGAAGCTCTTTTCAGATTAAAAATACATTTGAGAAAATGTATTTTCAGTTGCCTAGTAAACTGCATCATGGCACCCCCCCCCCCCCAAGGAAATGGGCGAGACAGAAACAAAGGAGGTTCTTAAAGAGACAGAGGCCAATTTCAAGGCGTTTAGAAGAGGAAGTGATGAGAAGATATGTTTATTTTCTATTTTAACATAAAAACAACATTTTAATAACAGCTAAAGGTGACATAGATACTTTATTATGGTATAGTATTTAAATGTATGCCTGAGAAACACATAATATTGGCCCTTTAAATGTAGCATCGTCACGCAGCTTTGAAACAAAACAGGAGGGTTTTACCTCAAGACGAAGATAAAATGAGCAAAAAATGGCAAGAAAAGAATTTATGAGCTTTAAAACCAAGCTCTAAACCTGACAAGCATCATTTAAAGATTTAATGACTCACAGGAAGCAGGACTTTACGTGTCTGAACTGACATCTTTTTATCTTTTACTGTTTTTACATGAGAACAATTTAAGTCTGRTGGTTTGGACTGATTTCATATCATTTTAGTCTTTTTATTTGTTTTTAAAGCATTAAATGGTCGTGCCCCGCTCTGCCTGACTGCTCTCAAGCCGTGTCTCCATCAACATTTTTTATCATGTTTTTATTTTTATATTTTATCTGTCATGTTTTTACAATGAATTAATAATTATGTTAATTTCATTCAACAACCATGTAAAACAGCAGATTTACACCAGAAAAATAT